TGTATTTTTACATCATTTATAATATTGTAAAATAAACTGGAAAGAAAATATAGCAATAAAAATGCAAAAAAACGATTATTGTATAGAAAAAGAGGACCGACAATTAGAATCGGCGGGGGTGGTGGAGGGCCTTTAAAGTCTAGAAATTAGTCTGTTTTAATTAGATAAGCTAAAAACAAAATATGTAGAAAAGTATCTATTGCGGTGTCTTGTTCTTTCTGGGAGCCTTACAACACTTTGGAATATTCTAAAAACAAAACTTCTAATTCCAGTTAATTAGAAAGATTTATTAATATTGGTATAAAGTTGTTTGTCCCATTTCTAAATATGTAGGTATTTATAAAATACGAAAAACGTAAAAACTAATAAATTAAATATGATAATTTTGTATAAATAAGCTTTTACATTTTCGATTAAAACGGTTTTTATCTTAAAAATTCCTTGAACATTATAGGTTGCGCATTTAAGAATGTAAAATGAAGAGAGAATGTGGTAAAGTCTAGCCAATTCTTCAGATACACACCATAGTACTCAAAGAAAACATACTCCTTGTCTAAATTCGTCTTTCAAAGTTTCTTCTCTTTCGGGGCAGTTTGTTCAAATTGAAAAGCAAGAGTGTGAAATATCGCCGCAATTTCGCGGAGATACTTCACACCGTCGAAGTCGGCTTTTAGAATACGCACGAAGTAGAAAGTGAGCTCTTCTTAATGAAAGAAATAATTTATGTTCTTACTTGAAAAAATCTCTTGCTTTTGGTATATTTCGCATCTTAGCTCGGTTTTTACTTAAGATACTTTTTACATATTTCAATTATAGAAAAATATTGCGCAAAATATAAAAGTATAACGAGAAGTGAAAATGTCCCAGCATTTAAACTTTTATATTCACATGTTTATTGCGCGGATGTAATATATTATTTACATTATTTTTTAAAGTAAAGTATCCAATAAAATTGGGTACAAAACTAGGAAAGAAATCAATATTTTTATCATCACGCGAGTATATTCTTTCATTATCGCGAGAAGTAATAGAGCTCGTTAAAAGGGTGTTGGTTCTTGTTGCAACACTCTTTATTAATTAATTTAATGCGTGCCCGAAATAAGGAACATTCTTTATTTTTGGACGATATCAGAAACGAATTTTTAAATTGTGAATGAACCCTGTTCATAATTAAATTGTTATCTACAAGAAAAAAGCAAGTTTGAAGGCAAATTAAAATAGTGAGATGAAGCCACTACGAGCTTAAACGAACAGCAATAGTTTATGCTTCGATATTGTCGTGCGAAGGAAAAGGAAGGAAATACTTCGTCGATATTGACGAAGGTACCGCAGTCGGCGACCTCGTATAGTAGAAAGCGACGAACAAGATACCGCAATAGATACTCCAAGTGGCAATTCGCTTTTATGGCTGTTCACACAGCAGAATCCATCTAAATTTTTTATACTACCAACTTGCACCTACACGCTAAATTATTAAAGAAAATAATCTAAGACGGAGCAAAAAATTTAGAAAGCATGCAAAACGAGAGGAATCACATCGAGAATATTAAAAATGTACACTTTACTCTTTCATTTGTGATTAAAACTATTTAATTACAAATGTAAAAGGAACGCGATACAATTTTTAATACGTGAAATAGTATGTAATTCCATAAACAATTAATAGAAGTAAACAAATACAAGTTTGTATTTCTTCGTGCTTATGCAGCATCGAATTCCCTCTGATGTTAGAACTTTCACTAGTTTTCGTGTTTTGTTCTGCACGAGAGCGAGTTGTTTTCTAGAAACACACATTGCGACAGAAATATGTTAGCCGGCCTCTCGACAAACATTGTAGTTTTACCATGTGTCTTAGATATTCGGCATTCAGTTTTCTGCGGTAAATAGCACGGCACCAGTGCACTTTGCACATGTCGTGCCGTGAGAAAAACAATATTGCATTTTCGCATCACCTCACTGTATCTGTGTGTCATGTATCTGGCGCACAATACGATGTGTCACTTTGTCCACGTTAAACATGTTTGTTCTCGTGGAATATCACATTACAAACGAGACTGCGGTCACGTTGTGGTGCGATAATTCATGATTTCGCGCGTCGACGCGAGTGATTCACATTCTCCCAGGCGACAGAACTCTGTGACTTTGATGCACTGCAACAAGGTCTGTCACTAAGTATGTAGAGAACATTATCATCGAGTCGTTTTTATCTCGTATTTGTTTTGTATCGCTTAAATATATCTCGATTTATTTATTCAAACGTTGAACTTTTCTAATTGATTGAAGTAATAAAATCCCTCTATATTTTTGTTAAAAAATTGATTTTAAATTGGACAAGACGGAAAAGGATTAAATTTTTTCAATTTATTACAAGAAACAAGTGTAACTATATTATTATAAATATACTTGTACTCTCCATAATTTTTATACATTAGGGACCGGTATCTCCAACCTCTTGGTAAGCTAATTAATAATTAAATTATGTGTCTATCTTTGCCTAATTTGAAGAAAAAACAAAGACATACATATGATTTAACTATTAGTTAACTTACCAAAAGATTGGAATAACTGGCCCTTAGTGAGAAGTAATCAGGATAGAGATAGGATAATCACGAATTAACACAATGATAAAGTATATTTCTTTTAACATACTTTAATTTATAAATTTATTGCACATATCTCTGCTAACGGATCGTCTCCTCGGCACTAATCGAATTGTCCTGCACAATCCATTCCTGATAATCTGCGCGTACAAAAATTATACAGTATTTTACGAAAATACTATACAATATGTATGTGTGTGTGTGTGTGTGTGTAGTATGGTATATTAATAACTAGGAACATTAGGAACGGATTTCACTTTTGAGTTTTGAGCAATTTTCTTAATCCTAATGGATAAAACATTGTTAACAACTTCACCTGACTGGAAGTCAGCTTTAAAACTAACTAAATACTTCATAATCTCGCATTACATAATTTTAACAAAGCATATCTTAACAGCATTAGAAATATTTGCGAAAATATTTATCTAATAAAAATGAAGCATTTTTTATGTAATAATTTCTTTGAAGAAAAGCCTCGATAAAGAAAGAAACTTTCAAAGTTTGTTATTGCAAAATAAGTTATTAAGTTATTAAGCTATGTGAAAATGATTCTCGATTAATTCCCAATAAAAATCACAGCGAAAAACTTAGTCAGTTTTAAAACCAGAGTAGAATAACCTTACGAATTAATAAGAAATATCGAAAAAGATGCATATTTTTCGTGAAATTACGTATACGCTTATGTATACAAAAATACAAATATCTTTCAATGCACGCGGACATAACGCATAATTGTATGTACACATAACGCAATATATGTACATATTCTTTTCGCTTAACTTTTACTCGTGGAATATACAGTGGTAAATGAAACAAATGTTTTATTTTAAAATCTTATAAAAGTCTAAGCTACGTGATGTACAATATGTGGCAGTTTGGTTTCGTAATATAATATATAATATTATATAATGCGACACAAAATATACAACATTCTAATTAAAAATATCAACATTATTTTGAATTCTGGTTTCTTCAGTAAGAAAACTGCTTTAATATAATATGAATAATCATGGTTTGTAACAAATTTAATTAATATACACAATATTAGCGTATTTACTTTGCGATTCTCTGTTTTACTATCAAAAAAATGTTTCAGAACAATATTTCATTATTCGCATCTCACATTTAAACGGTCCGTTCTTTAAAATTAATAAACTAACACTTTGTGAGCACCGCGATAGTTTCTAATGACGAATTAATAATCATTTACGCGATAACCATTAAGTATTTGTCGTCTCATAACAATTTACTTATTTACATTTATCTTCTTACTATTTTATTACAAAAATACATATATTTGAATATAGTATTTAAAATAGTACTTTTTCTAATTTAACTCCTTCCTCAGGGGCTCACATCAGTGAGTACGGGAGTTGGCCTTCCCGAGGTACCTGAGCCTTTCGAAGTCTGGAGACACGCGTAACCTTATTCATATTCCCAGATACCTTATTCATATTCCCAGGCCAGATAGCCTAGGAACATTGATAAGGAGACACGTCGTAATATCTTAAAGCAATGATAATTATATTCATGTATGTATATTAATATATATTCATACATATTTTGCGGAATAGGCTTTTTACATAAAACCGTAATTAATGAAAAATCGACTGTAGCTTGTACAATTACACGTAAGAATAGATAGTTTTACTATCACACGCGTAAATGATATTTGTATCTAATATATGCTTGCGGTGTCGCAATTTAATAACTTTATAATGCCGTCGTCCACGATTGCCATTTAGTAGCAGAATTTGCAAGTTAATATTTTAAATTGACACTTTTTACATAGCTTACATAATCTTTCGCATAATGCAATTTAATTTAAAAAAATATTTATTTTGTCACTTAAATAAAAACGTCATTATAAAGTTGGGCACCAAATAGGGTATAAACCTATCTTTTGTCTATTGTTGATATAAATAAAGAAGATATAAATAAAGTAGTTGAATTCGGATTCGGATACTATTTCACGAAATATTTTTCTCTATCGCATGTATTTACAATCCAGTGGTATCTTTGTTAAATGCTATTATTATATATTACTAAATATATATAATATATTAAACTATGCTATTTTAAATATATATATTAAGTAATTTACTTTATTATATATATTTAATAATATATATTATATTTAATAAATAAGACATATTTATTAATGGAAGCAGTCAGATGAATCATGTTTAAAAAAGTCTATAGAATGATCTAAAATTCAACTACTGTATTTTTTAAACTTCTATTAGATGAACAAGTTTACATAATATCGAAAAATTGGAACTTAGCGAAATGCAAAAATTACTTATGAATTTATTTTCGTGAGACGATAGATTATGAATAAAAATATTAAGTCATTGCGTGGAACAAATATTTTGTCAAAGAAAACAATCAAACCTTTGACAAGCAGATCACAAGCATACGGAAATCATTTTCTCTCTCTTCTCCCGTGTTATACATCTCTTATAAAATGAGAATATTTTCCAAGCGCATGATCAGAGTTTGCCTTTTAAAGCTATTTTTCAGTGCGAACGAACGCAACCGATCGTTCTGTCGATCACACACACGAAATCATTCATTCCCCGTTTATGGCCGTGCGGTATAATTATGTTCTCGGTTCGAGCGCTCGTTATAAATTATTTTGCATTAATATGTACAATGCATATGTAGCGCAAATGAGCGCACGTACATGGAGTATGAAGAGTGAGGCACAGTTTTTGCACTTTCAATCAGGATGCGGAAGGTTCTATCGCGACCGGTTTCTTGTCGCGTCTCTCCCACGTGTTGATCCTCTTTAGTGGATAACAAATGACAGCCGACATAAGAATCAGGCTGCCGGATAGATAGAACGAGGCGTCGTAGCTCCCGGTCGCATCCATGAACGCACCTATAATTTGCACGTATAAATAATAATTAGAACTATCCAACTTTTCTGATTTATAAGTCATTGTCATGATTTATAAGTACATGAAGATTTATAGGATCTACGTATGATAATTCAAACGAACAATATAAATTCTTTGAATTTATGTCGTTTCTTAGAACCAAAGGTGCTTGCTTTAAAAGCACCGGTAATCGCAAATCAGTGTTCCGATCCAGTTTTTTACGACGCCTTGTATCGACGCCGATGATCGATATCATTCTAATTACCTGCGAGAGGCGCACCCACAGTCGCGGCCACACCTTGGAACAGAAGAAGCAGCCCAAAAGCGTTAGTTAGTTTTTCTAAGCCCAACAGATCCACAACGAGGATTGATCTGAGGGAAGCGAAGACGGCTGCAAAAATGTCTGCTATTATTTCACAGATCTAATATAATTAAAACAAGCTAGCTTATAAATATAATATCGAGATTTTTTTACATGCGAGATGTATCTTAGTCTTTTGTCTTTATTCATTAAAAAAATCTAGCAGTCACGTATTTTGCTTACATATACTAAGGCCAAAGCTGGCTGCATAAAAGAACTGATATCCCTCGGTTAGAGAAAGGCCGGAGAATATAGTTACTAAACCTCCAACACTGATAAATATATTGTTCACGACCAGAGCGTTTACTCCGGGCAAACTGCTTGCAAAGCCACAAACGATACGACCAATAGTGTTACCGATACCGATCACCGAAACGAGGAACATTGCCGAAGAAGCGTCAATGTTAGCTTTCATTGCTCGATCTGTAAAAAGATAGACAAGATTTATTTCTTGAACCAAAAAAGATGCACGAAAATGTGTACAACAGAAAATAGATTCACGAGAATATGTTTACATATGAGCGGTATAATACTATTTTACAAAAATTGTCTTGAAAAGTTCGCTTATTTTTTAAATATGATACGAAAAATTGTGAAGGAATAAATATTGATCATTTGACGTACCTGCCACATACAAAAAGGGCGTATAAAAGCCCATCATAGTGAGCCCACCAGAAATTGCTAATATTAAAAAGGTCGGACTTTTTAGGAGGCTTAAGTCGAGCATTGTGGTCAGAATTCGTCGTACGCTTTCCGGGCACAGGTAGAAACTTCCGCTTTCTTCCTCCGCCACATCCTTTGTCGTTGGCAATCGCGTAACTGACATGTGATAACCGACTGACGATTGCTATAAAATCATAACGATTTCTTTATACGACCAGAAATTTAGCGTTGGTAATTTAGTTTACACTTAACTTAAGTATACATTCTTAAAGGAATATAATTAGAGAAGGGTGGGATATTGGTTGAGCATTCAAATTTCTCTGATTTTTGCAAGAATTGTAAAAATTCCTTACACACATTATAGTAATATTATATACATATATTTGAAGGAATTAAAAGTACATTATGCAAATGTACGTAGAACTCACCTGAGACCTGTAATGAGGAAGTCGGTTTAAAGAGCCGCCGTAAAAGATATCATCTCTGTAGAACGGTCTCTGCGTATCTTTCGAATTACGTTTGCCCATTCGAAAAGACTTTTGGCTGCATTCCGAATCCGTTCGGAGACGCCTGCCACTAATTGTATGTCGACGTATCTAAAAACGGAAATTTTGTATCTTCAAAGTAATTCCGTTATTACATATTTCCTATTGTTTTTCGCACTTAATACTACACATGTGTTAGATTTGTTTTCACACAGAGTTTAAGACAAAAAATATTTGCAAAAATAACTGATTCGCAAGTAGAATTTTCCAGGTCATGAAATTGGCACTCGTAGCTTTGGAAATACTAAATTTTTATTTTTTGGCAAAAGTGAACGTGTATTTTTCTTCTCTAAAGTCTGGATTTTACTTTATTTTACTTTACAAATTAGAGAAAGAGACAAATCTCGCGAGAATTCGAACTAAGAAGAGCTCTGATTATCGATCAAGTTTGACATAATTATTTTAACACTTTTGCAATTTTTGCAATCGACTGATCGACTGATTATAATGTTTTACCGTGACAAAAACTATCTATTTTATATTTCAAAATCAATCAGTCGTATGTTATAAACGGATTACGATAAATATTCTACTTGCGAATAATTTCTATCATACTTGTTATTAGCAATTTTATTACTAGAAATCTTAATATTCTTTTTCTTTATCCCTCTTAAAATTTCTCTCAAAATTTAGGATAAAATCCGACTTGTTCTCCATATATATGTCGATCTTACCGTTGGTACTTTTCCATTCAATCGTTCTAAATCACCGCTGAGTAAATTATTTTCCTCGGCGATCTTCTCCTCGTTAATCGTACCGTCCAAATCGAGACCATCGGCGGGATATATCGGCGCGGATAACCGTTTCTCCGAAGTGCTCACCTGTCTGTCCAGGATCTGAGTCTCCGCAGGCATCTTGTTTAACGAATGCAGGGACTTAGAGGCACTGAACAGAAATTAAAACATTTCGTTGAGAAAGTTGACGCATTAAAAGAAACAATTATCAAGTATCAGTATAAATAGCATCCCCCGTTTATTACTTTACTATATTAGGGCTGCTGCCGAGGAGTTCCGCCGCCGTCGGGTATTCTGTATTATTATTCGTGCCGAAGAAACCGCTTCTATTCGGTTGCACACAGTGCAACGAGGTCGTTGACACACCTTTTCCCATCAAGGAGGTTTTCACCTCGAGCGCGGCGTTTTCTGGGGTGTTCTTTACCTTGATCCTCGTTGGTTTCAAGGGACGGAACATCGCGCCGAATATAGCACAATGTAACAGCATGCCTGAAAACCGCGCAAGTCGTTTCTTCCATTACGTACCAGACGTCCAAACCATTATCCAAAATTATTTCACTACATTAATGCGTATATAAAGTGATGATGTGTAAAGCGTTACAAATCTTAAACATTTTAAATATTTAAATTTATATATTATAGTATATATTTGACATTTAATTATATGCAAACGTTACAATTTGACTTGAGATGTAAAATCATGCGGAAGTAGAGTTTTATATGGTTTCATAACTGACTATTCAATCAAACGATATTTTTTAGACACTAACTAATTTCACGCAATCCGATTTTTTTCTCAAAGTAACCGATATGCGTATTTTAATCGTCGTAAGTTATTTATGCAGATCTTCGTTATTTAATCAAATATATGTGACATATCGTAATATCAAGTAGAAAAGGGTAGTCGTGCTCTATCACTATTTTTTATTGATGAGGAAACACTGATAAGATCAGAGTCAGCAAATTTAATTGAAAGTTTAATTTAAAAAAAGTGTAGAAAAAAAGCATCGTTCTTCATTATTACCATTTGCGTAATGCAGATGATAGCGCGGTGAATAATTTACAACATCATGACATTTATATAAAATTGAAGATTTTTATATCTCACTAAGGGCCAGTTTCACAAACGTCGGTTAACTGCTAACCGAAGGTTAACTGATCCTCTGTCTCTTCTTAGAGAACAAGATAGAAAAAGATAGGGCGTTGACTGAACTCTGGTTAACAGTTAACCAACGTTTGTGGAACTGGCCCTTAAAGTCAATCAGTGAATTATCACAGAAAACAGTGAATAGTCACTGATTTAACGTTATTTTCCGTGGTATACTTATAACTGCAAATCAGTAACTATTCACTGTTTTCAGTGATAATCCACTGATTGACTTTTAAAGAGAGTATATAATTATCATAATTATAATTAAAATTTTAATTCAAATCAAAAGCGTCGTAATTTATATAATTTTAATGAATTCAAATTTTTAATCTTAATTAACACACACACAAGGTTCATTCTTTGTTTTTGTAATACGTAACTAAAATTAAATATCGTCAAAAATAATATTCTTTTTCTGATCCTTTCAATCGATTTAAAAGTCCACATTTTTAAGTATGTAATTTATTTAATAATACACTCACCTGCTTGACATAGCAAAGCTCCTCTCCAGCCAAAAGTTTTCACGAGTACATTCGAAAGCGGTGCGAGTAAAAATGCACCGATACCAGAGCCGCATACTGCGATACCTGTAGCCAAGGCTCGCCATTTTTCAAAATAAAAGCCGGTTGTTATCACGGCTGGCACGTATATTAGACCAGCTCCGATACCGCCTAAATTTTTGGAAAAGTATTATTAAAAAAAATCTTTGCACAAAATTGAATATTTGCTTGAAAACATTTGAATCAATTTTTATCAGTAAACTTTAGATATTTGACTCCACTGACAATATATTCCCTAATTTCTAATACACGTAGCATTATTATAATTAATCTTTAAATTAATTATTTTTTAAATTATTTAATTTCGTAGTTAATTCTTAAAAGTACTGAAATAACAATATTTTCAAGTTGATATCGACACTTAAATATTGATAATGGATGCGATTCAGGTTTTTGGCAGAATTTCCTGCAGAATTAGATAAAATAGTCGAGAATATCGCATCTATATAAAAGAGAACTCGACAAAGAAACTCGATAGAAATGCCAATTACTTCGGCAATAAGAAAAATTCGAGACATAAAGGAATATAGTAGAACTTACCGATAGCACCATAAGAAATGTAAAGGAATTCGATAGAAGTGCTGAAGTACGAAAGGACGAAAGCGACACAGCTTATCACGCTTCCTAATATCGCCACCAGTCTAAAGCCGTATCGATTAGCGAGGGCGGATACGAAGGGACCTGAGAAAAGCGATAATTTAATTTGTCGCCGTTTTGCCGACAATTGCGGACTTTTGATATTTAGATATTCTCGAACGGAAACATGCGAATTATCCGTACACGCTGATTATCGAAACGGTCCTAATCACTTCTTTTTTTCCTTTACTCACGAGTATATTAATTGCTATGTATATTGACTGTTCGACTATACGCAACTTAGCACAAATGTTGTCATTATAATAGCAAGCAAGTTGTAGGAACAAAATACACATCGTATGTTTGTACAAGTGATTCTATTAATGTAATGTTGCTAACATGGAAACGCTACGCAATATAAAATAATGTGTGTATCGAATTTATACGAGTATATTAAGAAAAAAATCTCACACTTTTTTACAATGTGTATAACTGGAAATATAAATTCGAGATGCCATTAATAAAATGTCCGCGCACGCGTAAAGAAGAGAGATTATATAAAATTAAAAACTGACGGATATAAATTAAAAATGTTTAAGATATTTTTCTATTTTGAAATTGCACTTCTATTCACGTTAATTGTATTTTTATCGATTACTTTGACATATTCCGTAGTCCTACTGATCAATTATCAGCCAATTTTTGTATTATACGATAGTAAAAAAAAATAATTTGTATAAAATACAAATAATTGCATGAATAACTAGCATAATAGTTTTAATTTCTTCGGAATGAAACGTGCAATTTCTGCAACGTTAAAGGTAAATTATAACTTACGTCGCTCTTTATTATCACGGATAGTTAGTCACAATTTTGCCACGCGTCTGCATCGTTAAAACTGATTATAGACGTCCTGCACATGAAAAATTCGCGATTTATAATTTTTCGCCACATCGTTTATTTCTCTTTATACCTCACTTTCGAACGATTATATAGTAACGCGCTAACTTTTATGAAATGTAACCACTAATTATCGACATTATCGACATAGACATCGTTAATTAATAGATTGCGATAATTGAAACGCGGATAAACGTTGTCATACGGGTTTGATAAATTGATTCTCGAGTGGAACTGTTTTTGCGTATTTGTTTTCTGAATTGCACCGCGAAGATCCTTGAGACTGGTCATCCAAACGGTACTTATTGCGATGCTAACTCGGGTGCGAACGCAAGTGTACATTATACAATATATGTGTGACTTTATCGACTCGATATATATCGAAAAGATTCCACGTGCGAACATATTATACTGTTGTATTGTACAAACAGACTTATCAGTTGCGTATATTCAACAGAAATACGGCCATCCTTATCGTATTTTCAGTGTTTTGCACAAAACGTGTTGCGTCAATATTGTGACTTGATATGTCAAAGAAATGTAAATTCTAAAGATTGTAAACTATTCAAATTTTAAAATCTACATACGAAAGAATTCATTGATTGACCGATGCGACATACATACAAGGGTCGTCCAAATAAAACGTAGACTCTTAGCTGTTGAGTGACGTATAATTTAAAACATAAGGATATCTACACAGATAAATATACATACACACTGTTGCTGATAGAGCTATATATGTATAGGCACCCCTAACATTTAGGCAGATGTCCCATTTCCATGACGTCACTAGTCACGACGCAGCAAAATGAATCTGTGTTTCATTTCTACGACCCTTATATTTTGTGTTACTTGACGTTCCATTTATATTCTTGATAAATACGATAAATTATTTAAGAATTAGCTTGTTGACTAATTACATACAGTTTTGTGCAATACAATATTCTAATCTCTTTAATATGACATATTGTTATGCAAATCTTATATAGACACTCAATTATTGCTGTTGGAAGAAAGATGCATTTAAAATGTTACGTCATTAAAGTACGGGATTATAAAAAAATTTTTAAAAACAGATCTTTCTATAAATTAATTTTATAATTAATACAAAATAAAAATTAGGATATTCTTATTAAAACGCTCACTTATTTGGACGCACAAATTATCTCTGCTTCCCTATGAGTTTATCTGATAGACTTTTTAAAGCTTCAAAAAGATATTAAAACGAAAAGTTATTGTTTTAAACTTCTCAAAATGCACAAACTATTTTTATTTTGTAAAAAATGTTGTAAAATCGTCATTGCATATTTTTAAGATAAAATATTCGGTATTATGATTAACATATATGTAGATCTGCTGTTAAATATTACATACGTGTCGTTACTAACCAGCCATGAGATAAAATCCGCTCTGTAACGAATTAACAAACGCAACACTCGCTTTCGATACAGAGAATGCATCCGCAATGTCGTTGAGAAATACACCAAAACTGAAAATAATACCGTCGACCACGAGGTTGCACATAAAGGAGGCTGCAACAATCACCCAGCCCCATCCTCCGTCAGGTGGTACGACCATTTCCACCTCGATGGTCTATTTTGACAAATGTTAATGAAGTTTTTACAATAATTAACGTTCATAGTTAACCATTTGTAACGAGTATCTTGCATAAATTAATTGAATGCACATCTATATAAACTTCAGATCAGAAACAGCAGTTTTTGGAACGGTATTATATGATATTGCACATAAAAGTATTTAAAAGCGGCAATCATCTGATAATTCGCCAAAATTCGCTATGATTTAATACTCAAAAGAATACATAATTAACTCGCTAAAAACATTGGATTTATATGGACGAGCACAATAATAAAAATTCGAGGCCTATGACTTCTAAATTAGTATGAAAATTTCTGCACCAGATATATATTCATATATATTTCAAGTAAGAAACAAAGCGAAGCTAAAAACAATAAAGTTAAGAAAAGTACAATTCAAAGTAAAGTAAAGTGTTAAATGTAAAGTTAAAAGTAACGTTAAAAAAACGTGCAAATGTAAATTATTTAAATACAACCGATAATTCTAACAGGCTAATTTATTGACAAGATAACAATTATAATTCGATTATTATATCACTCTTAATCTGAATAATATTAATCTATATTTCGCAAAAGCTTTTAGAAATATGAATACAATGACGTATATACATTGTAGCAATATCTGGTTTATGTAATTTGTTCTAGACACTATCTAGTTTAATATTATATATTAATCTAAATCTTAAAAAAATCTTAAGAAAATATTTTACATGTATAAACATTGAAAGTATAGTCTAGAGTAAGTATGAACAAAAAGTTTTAAAGTAAAATTTACCAACTGTCGTGAACTGCGAATAAAGAAAAAACTGATTTAAAAAATCAATTTTAAATAGAAATTGAATTTAGAATATTTAATTATTAATTTATGACTTTTCAGAAAATTTTAATTTGCACGTTTCAAATATTTACTTACTAATATTCCAGAACAATACATATAGTTAATACTTTTTTTACTGAAAGCGTACGAAATCACTTCTTGATAATTAGCTTTAGAGATAATTGTACTTTTCGTATTAATTATGATTAATGTTAAATTTAATTTGCATGAATATACGTATATATGGCTGCGTTTTCCCGCAAGCAACAGAATTATACATTTAAACTGCACGTTAGAATCCTCGTACCTCGACTTAATAAATTCTAATGGTGATAATTATCGCGTGAGAGCTGTTTTCCTACTCGTGAGAAAACACGATACGATATACATATATCGAAGCTGTTTTGAAGAAGCACGGCACGAAGTCGGTTAATTCGCGAATGTCCTCTTGGTATTTCAACATCAACTTGATTTGCCTTCGCTCATTGGAAATTCACAGGATGTCTAAGGTCAAGGCCATTCAGAAAGCCGCCGAGAGGCCGGTCTTTAGTTATTTCGTGACCCAAAACTTAAAAAGTTATCAATCTGCCGTCAAACCGCGCCTAACGTTGATTTGCGGACGGCAACTTGCCTTCGGTAGTTTTGATATAAAATAACGATTTATTTAACAAGATCTAAAGATAAGAATTATACAAGTTAATTTTCGCAAGTATAAAATTGATATTTTTGTGTTTGTAAAGTAATGAGGAAAGAATTTGCCAGGAGTATGGAAACGTATTATATAATCGCATGCTACTATTATACCATAAAGAAAGAAAAACTTATTAACTTTAACTTTTATAATTGGTCTATCCTCAGTGATCGATTAAATATAGAGACTGAAAGAAAAAAGCGAAATCATTCTACGCGCGATGCGTATCTTACTATTCAGGAAATTGTTATGACGATGACAAAGGCACTTTCTTTGCACGATTAAAAGTGTAGAGAGTCTCGTCCGAAAGTCCAAGCTTATTCATATAGAAAGCGGCACGTGTCGTCGGTCATTCGCGGCATAAAAATCGCGGGGAGCTTTATAGTCGTTCGCGCTGCTCGCGTTCGCGTTTGTTAATTTCCAGGCGAATAAGAAAAAAATTCAGTCGGGAATGCGTATCCGCCCCTGGATGACCCACAGCGAGACAACGGCTATCGGGTCCATTATGTGTCGCAAATAAGGCGATATCGCGTTTGCAGCGTTTTACAACGCACGATCCGCCCGTCGCTCTCAACGCGAGCGTACTAATCGCGCGAACGAGACCGGCGGCCGTCGCGGCGAGTGATCGCACACGGCGCGATTTTTTTACAGCTTCCGCATTTTGACACACCTACACGCGGGAAAATATCGCGGAAAATCACCTCGTCGTTGTTGTTGTCATTGATGTCCTCGAGCTGCAGCTCCTCGCTCTTTTTGCACTCGCAACCATTTTGCTGCGGCTTGCTCGCGTCGGAAACCTGCTCCTCCGCTTTGCCCACCGTCGTCGACATCGTCCCGTCCGAATATCTGAAACACATCCGTGCGAAACACCGTTTGAAATCTATTCAATAAAAACGGACACAACGTCGACGCGATAAACCTAACAATGCGTTTGATTTAGATACTAATGTAACGCTGAAAACTTAGAAAAAATAACGTTATCGACGCCGCCTATTTTTTTTCGCGCAATTATTTTGAATTTTGTTAATAAAACATTTTTTTCTCTTTTATATAAACACTTGATATTGTCGATTTCGTCTGTTAGCTCGCAAAACCTAAACTTTTACTATTTGACTCTTTGCGGAAAAGTTTGTCGGCTTTGGTGACTTCCGAAGATACTACTCTGAAAAAAATGACTAGTGTCTTCTCAAGTGCTATTGCAAAAATTTAATACATTACGTCTTGCTATCGATTTGCTAATGCGTTGTTTTCGTCCTGATGTTTATTATCTATCATACAGTGATATCTATTACGACATTTTCGCTTGAGATTCATAATAAGACGATAGAGCTGATTGCAGAAAGAAAATATGTTAGCAAATTGCGCATCACCTTGCTGATGCGTAAGGGTTACTTATTAATTCTACGTCCTTTTTGCAAAATTTTGTAATGACACATTCCATCGGGACATAATAAATATCGAGAATTAATCTGGTCTGAAAGAATGTCACTCGTAAGTAGCGTGAAAAATATATTCAAAGCGACGTGTGTCCACGCTTGACGTATGTCTACTGTACCATAATACAAGAGAACTTGAATAATTCCTACCATTCGCATTAATGTCCAATTTGTTTAAGTTCAGATTTTTTAAAGAAGCTTAGGTGACAAGTTTCACGAATAGATTGCACGTCATTTTATTGCATGCTCCAGTATTGCAGTGTATTCATAAGATGTAAGCAATATCCAAATTAATAATTTATGGCAAAAAAATAGGGTATTTATCTTAAAGAAATATCTGTTTAGAACAAATGAAGATTATACAATTGTAGGTAAAAAATATCTGTCGGCCTCGGGAACATCTTGCATAACAGTTAATAGTATTATAGTGGGAGAATCAAAGGCAGTCCGACCACTTTCTTCGTATCATCAACAATAGCTCTTTCTCTCTCTTACGCGTGCGTATATCAACTGTAGTAACGTCGAGGCAAAGAAACGATTTAATTGAATATTGACGAAAGAGACGACGGTATCGAACCCATTATTGGTCACGTGCGACGAGTTTTTTGTAACAGCTTTAATTCGTCTCGCCTTGATCTTTTGAAATTCATGTTGTCTGGTGTTCCTACTCGAATTAAATTGTAGACAAAATACTTTCGTTATATGACATCTTGCCTGTCATTTAAACGATAAGCCACTTGAGAATACGTTACATGAGCTGATCAATCTTTTATCGGTGTCACGCGATTAGTTGTTATTAAATCTAGAAATTAAGGATCATATAGTTGTTCGCTGACATTGCAGTATAGTACGTTATCTAGAATAGTGGATAAACAGACAATTATAGGATTAGATGGTTCCGTTATCGCAATCAGTCGTTTTGATGTTGCGTCTAACAAGCTAGCTTGTAAAAGCTCTTTGATCAATTTCGAATTGATTTTCCTCTACCGAGAATATTAATTGATGCTTCTTTATCGGAAATATATCGTTGTGATTTATTTGTCGTGAGTCATTAAATACAATTGGAACTAATTCTAAAATTAATGTGGACAGTTTGTTAAAAATATTAAAAGTTTTACTACTCTCTTTACTTTCTGTCGCGAGAGATCTATAATTTGAATCGCCTGCAGTGTGATTGATCTTAATGACAGGTTGGCTTCTGTAATTAAGAAGGTGTGGATGGTAAATTAATCAAAGAATTCACAATCAAGCCGTGATTCGATAAGTTTAGGATGTGTTGTGTGATTAAAAAAGATTAAAATAAACACTTATTGAAATTCTACTTACTGATTTTACTGATCAAAGATATTGAGAGGCAGCGAAATCAGAATTACAATATTTAGCACATTTCAAGTATCGAATCTATCTTGTGAATCTTGTATCTAACGTCTTATAAATTGACGATAAGATGGGCCTTGCAGCAAAATATTTATGTACTTATACAATGTAAGTTATTACTTCTTCAATTCGGAGCATTTTTTAAATGTTTGATAGCAGTTTTATTGGCTGACCGATTGCGCCAACTCCTACTCTTTCTCGTTTTCCTTTTCTTTTTCTTACTTTTTATAGCGTCTCGCAATGCATGTGTGTGTGAATATGTCGCCTGACTCTTAGATACAATATCAAAAACGATTAAAAATTACGACCTCATCTTTCACGCGCGCACATGCCATTTATAAAAAGTTGTATTATACACAGCTTCAACAGTTATCATGCAAACAGAATTGTGTAAACTTTACTTTTAATTGATAACGGTTATGTTTATTTTTAGCACTACTTTGCTCATTTTATCCTCTCGCTGAGCAATGATCCGCGAAAGGAGAAAGTAAATTTGGCACTGGAATATTGCTTCGCTTTTTTTCACTATTCTTGATTGAGTCTATCTTGTCACAGCGGTAATTCTAGCTCTCAATAGACTATTTTCTACGGAAATATAAATATACTAAATATCTAATAACTCTTAAATTTGGAGTGTAACAATGGGAAACAAATGTATATTTTATATTAATTAACATGCCTTTAATATTTTGTTACTTATTATATGCTATTATTATGTCTACACAACTTTAACTTGAATATAGATGTACTAGACTGTGAATCTAATCGTATATTTGAGAGTATTTTCTTGCTCTGACCGACGTTATATGAAAGCACATGTGACCGATATTTATAAAACTATTATACAACGATGTAAAAACCAGATAATGATTTATTCATCGGTCGTGCTATTTCAGATATAATCGGTAACATATAATAACACACTTTCGATTGTAGATAAGAATATAAATTATTATCGTGCTATTTGCATATTGCATCGATGATTGGCGTTGTACAATAGATCTAGTTCCCTATCTCGATTGACTTCAGCATCGCTCGAATAATACCGAGGACTATTTATCGCGCACTTTATTTACTTCGCGCCTTTTCCGCTTCGCTCGACACGAAATTCGGTCTGCAAAGATTTACATTGATGAAGCAAACCATACGTCACGCATTTACATGTACGCGCGAGATACCATTGTCGCGCTAGTTTGACGTAAAGATCCGCGCGTGAATGGTAACAAAGAAGCAGTAATTAGGGCAGAGGGAAAGAAATGATGAAACGAGGTAATCGCGAACTCGGATACGTCTCCATAATAATCGCTCATAATAATTGCTGCTCTAGAAACGAGGGTAGTTCTTGCAAGAGCCGCTGATTAACTTTTTGAACGCCGAGATAAATTATTATCGGCGCGCAATGGACAATGCAATTCTGCTAACTCGCTGATAAATTATTCCTGGGTAACTGCCGAGCGCGAGTAGATATCGTCTTACTTTTTACTAGATAAAACGCCAATAAAACTTGGCAATTTTGCGCGACGTCATAATCGCCACGTGAGCTGATTGCGGCACATCGATCGGCAATAAATTACTGCCACTTCAAAGGGAATTATCACTCGCGAGGGGATAATGGGTAGATCACAACACTCAGTCAGAGCGATAATTGTGATGGCCAAGAAGCCCGAGTGCAGAACGAAGTAAGAAACTTGCATCTTTCTATAATAGAAAGGATATGCATATGCAACGCTTCCGACTTGGCGAGACGTATCTCATTAATTCATGCACTTTTAACGCCGGACGGACAATACGGTATTGTGATCGATCGATTTATAAAAAATGGAACGTAAGTAATATATTCTAATATAATCGCGAATGCGAAGTGCAGCGCCAAGATTTTTATCAATAACCGAAGTAATTACCGCGGAAGTTGGCAAGAGGCAAATAACGCGTAAATGCGATATTGTCAGCCGCAGTATGCATTTTATAGTTTTTTATTTACGGATAATACGCTTCTTGCACAAAATATTCATTCTCTTTACTTTTATCTCTTTAACGGTATTATTACAAAATCTGAAGAAGTAGATATATTCCGTGAAACATTCTGTTCATTTGATAAGTAGTAGAACTTTGATCCGTAAATCCACATCAAATCAATGTGGATCGTAACAGGATTATTCACTCCAGGATTATCTTAATTCCATTTTTATCGTACGTTATCTGAAACGCTTTTCATTAATTTGCACTTTGTCATTTATTAGGATTGTTATCGTATTGTTTAAAGTATTTTCTCAAGATACCTATATAAATCATATAAATTTTATCAGATATACGAATTATATAAATTGTATCACTTTTAATTGATCAATACTTATGCAAATCTACGAGAGAGACAATGAGACGATTAAATCACTTTTAAATGCATCTCGATACTCCAGAGATATTTCGATAATCATTTAAGAAAGATGTAAAAAAGAAAGGATAACGGTGGTTATTTTTACGCCGTGAGATGCCACAAAGAAAGCATTTGCGAGCAATATTTTATTATTAGTATCTAAAAGGTGTTTACTCACCGCGAGCTTACTTTACGACCATATAGATTTTCGTAAGATCTCTCGTCTAAACGGGGCTGACTGAGTGCCAGGGGAATTAGAAACGAAGTGAATTGTTTCCTACATCCGCGATACGTCGAAACTGCCCGGTGTTTCTCATAAAATATGTTTTTAATGGATTGCACAATACGCGCTGGCTGCAGGTTGCGTTCCCGCCAGGTGGTACAAACAAATGACTTTACGACGATAAAGGATATTTCTACCTTCCACGGTCTGGCTTCGCACCATTGTTATTCCGCGCCTTCGCTCACTCAACTTCTCCGCGTGCGAACGCGACGATATGCAAAGATCGCAAAAACCCGATTTCCGTTCGCTCAATCGCACGCCGATAAACATTGATATTTGCGCGAGCCGACGCTGTCGCTGCATATTTGCAATAATATAATTATCGCGGGAGCGGCGATCTTATCGTTCTCCGGAATTTCGCAAACATTATTACAAAAGTCCCGGCACCATTCGAGACAGATACTTTTGCGGGTGGTCAGTAAGTTATCTACAATAATTCTACGATATGTGTAGGTATATCTTGACATTACCAGAGGCACGATCTGTTGGGAAATTGTTTTCTGTCGTCTTGGAAGAATTTCAAATCCTGCAGGATAAATTTTGGCACAGAACGCATTACGGAAATGTATGATAATCTCATACTAAAGTAAAAGCACAAAGGTTGTATTATATCGATTATTTTATTCTGCATTTATTTTCTGTAAAAGATTTCAGTCACGCTCCCTAAATGGATAAGCTATTAACAACTCGGAAGAGCCGCGATTTTTATCTATCTCGTGGTAAATCGCTTTAAATTCTCCCGGTATATCTCATCGTACCGTCGAAAAATTCATTACTCTAAATTCGCCGGTCAATCCAAATATCGTTGATTCACTCTGCATCGTAAATGAGACGTAAGAGATAGATACGACGGGGCGTAATAAAATATGCGAGCAAAGTGGAATGATAAAATCTCCACGATAACTGTTATCTCTGTATTTGCGATATAGCGTTTTGGTGTGAAAAATATCTAAAATAAAAGACGAAACGTCATTCTCATTTTTCGTAAAAAGTAGAATTATTGTCACTCTGAACTTGTTTGATAATAGATTTTTCATCTTATTACCATTGTTTGAGAAAAATATAATACAAATATGTAATTAAAAAGATAAAATAACAGCGAATTACGTAATTGAAAGTCAGAGTTTACGAGAACCTACTTTGCATCTTTGATCTGCATTTATCTACTAGTAATATTCGTGCAATGTCTCGCGATAACATGTGACAAAAAGTCGGATTAAAGCGCTACAGAAATAGTCACGAACAGGCCAATAAACCGTATCTCTGTCTCGCATGTCATTTCCTGGCACAGCCTTTCTTCTCTTTGTTTCTCGGCGACGAGTCATCTTACATTTTTCCGACCGTGCGGATTAGACATGAACTCCGCGATGCTACTGTGACGCGGTGGAATAATAAATGCGTCATGTTGTTGCAGTTTGGCTGCAGCTTTTCGATCAAACTCGCAAATATTGTGCGCATTTCAAAGTTTCGAAACTTGAGATTCAGTTTCAAAGAGATTTGTTAAATAATTTGTCAACATAGAAAAATGTCAAAATACAGGAGTAAAATGTAGAATGATGTGCTTTGTGGTCTTGATGAAGGATGGGGTAAATTTATCTCCAATTTATACATTTGCGTTGATATTTCGAAATACACTTCATGTTGAAAGATTTTTTTGGGAAAGTACTTTGATTGTTTGTATTAAGAATCAAAGTACTTTTTAAATCTTTTTTTTCGGTCACAGCTGATGCGTCCGGTCTGTTTAAAAAAAAAACATTATTTATTTTTAATGATTGTCTATACAATCCTATTATCTATACAATATGTGTATAAGTAGTAGAATTGTATAAACAATCAAAGTACGTTTTTAAAGATTCTTTCAACATAAAGTGCATTTTGAAATGTTGGTGCAAGTATGTGAATTGGAGCTTGCCTTATCTTTCATCAAAGATTGCAAAGTAAATCATTCTACATTTTATTTTTGTATTTCGACATTTCTTTTGTTGATTACAAATTATATGTCTAAATTTTACTTAATATAATACGAGGATTTAAAATAATGCTAAATGTAAAAAAGAAAAGAAATTTGTGGCTAAATACATCTTATTGCGAGAACTTCACTCGTCTCTAAATTTAGCTTCTTGTTTTCGTTTTAAGTCTTTGTATCTTTTTAAGCATGTTATTATACATATGCAAAGGATATAGCGTCTGGTGCAGCGGAATTATCAGGTGCACGCGAAAGAAACATTAGCCAAATGAAAGACTTCCAAGTCTCCAATTAATTTCTAAGTTTTTAATTCGTTACTTAGCGGATAAATGCGGAGTCTGGTATGTAAGAAAGAAATAAAAAGAAAAGATTCGTGTCCGAATTTGAGAAGGATCGAATGGCATCTCTGCTACATTAAACATATCTACAAACTTAATTTCTTTGAGGTAGCCTTGCGTTTCGACATTCCTATTAAATTCCATAGCATTAAGGAAACACCTGTGCGCGAGGACGCATACCAAATTCATAAAACCTTCTCCTGGACATCTGCGTCGTGTGAAAAAAACTCGTGCTCGAAGTCATTACGTTTTCATGGTCAACCCTGAGCCGTTCGTGCAATCGAAATGGTATCGTACGCGAGATTCACGATCGGTTCCCGACATGTTCGTAAAGATATTCTATGTTCAATAAAATATGATAGCTAGTTTTGATGAAAATCATTTCAAAAGTCAATAGAAAATTATATTAAAGACTATTCCCCAGAAGAGAATACTTTTCTTCAAAAATGAGGAAAAGATCGGAAAGGATTCTCTTCGAATAGTATTTTATCTCATTGTAGTATATTTAAATTTGCCCTAATGTAAGCTCCGTATCGTGGTTCTCGAGCCACCACGCGTTGACATAAAAATACTCCGATTCTAAAAATAACTATAGAGAGCAGATCACGTTTTCACAAGTATATAGTCTCGCACAGATATATTACATATTAATTAACAGCTACGTCGATGAACCTCATCACAATCTAATAATTATTTCTCGCGATATGGTTAACCACTTCTGACACATCACCAATTTAGTATTCGGAAAACCTCGGACCATTTGTCATATCAACGTAAAGTAAATAAACGGCGCTGCCCGATTAATTTGTTTTCTCAATACAGATATCCTGGCCTCAATTAAAAACGATTAATAAGATAAATAATAAAATCTCCTGCAGAGAAGAGTGAAAAGCGTTCGAGAAAAATAAAATCTTTTTGTCATAAAGGCATTGAATATAAAGTGTCCACGTGTCAGACTCAGCAATTACTTTTAAAATATCTTCAAATTCTCAAATATCCGATCTTAATTCCTTCAGTTTTAATCTAATTGTAAATGTCGTAGGAGTGCGGAGAAAGCGGTCTGAAATAGACCAATTTTTCCGATAACGAAATTTAAAAACTTCTGCCCGAAGATCTTGAGTGTCAAAGCGTGACCTTTCCGATGACGACATTGACATTTCCCACCACTCGTACTGGCGTCGACGATATAAAAAATGCTTTATTTTCAATGCCACGTGTTTTCTCGCGCCATAAAAGTTACTCCCAAGTACAGGAGCGGATACCAAATAGAGTATTTGCATCTAAATGTTTTGCGTCACTGACGTAATCACGAATTTTCCGACAATAACACAAACGATCGATTTAATGAACGGTCATCATATGACCGAACGGCCGTGCAGAAACACTGGCGCCTGTCGACGCAATCGGCGAGTACGTCGCATAATTAACACGGCACTCGGCCGTGTCGTCGATTTTTCGCGGTCGAGGTTCACCGGCGGCGGAAAAAGAAACTCCGCGCGTTCACCACGTGCGGAGGCGCGCGCGTTCGCCACGTGCGCTTGCGCGCCCCAATCGGCGCGGGAACCGCTCGCCCCCGGCCAGGTTCCACGTGGTCCAGCGTGGATCCGTTACCTTTTCCCACGCTTCGCTCGAAAAAACACTCAAGCGCACTCTCTGGCTACCAGCCTGCCTTTTTCTACTCCCGTTCCGCGCGATCGGTTTGAAGATCGAGACACGTTACCTCTGGTCCCTGCGAAGTCGCACTGTCGCTGACGCGCCTCAAAAAGTTGCAACTTGCCGAGAGGAAAAGGAAATCCCAAAGAGGCGAAACACGCCGCGCACGCGCGTGTGCGTATGTGCGTGAGCCCGCGTGCACTAAAGAACCGCGCGCGATGTGGCTCGAACGGCGGGCCCGCGGCCGTCGCGACGTTGTGCCGACAGCGTGCCCCCCGGAGTTCGCGGCCGTTTCAGCGATAACGACGGGATGCGAGATTGGCCGGTTTCGAAGTGGAGGAATCGAGGCTGCTCCATCGTCGATTCCGCCGGCACAGATATTGGTGGGATATCTTTTCACACGCTCCGAGCCCCCCCTTCTCCCCCGCGAATGTTCCCCCGAACGTGTTTCTCCGCGGCTACTTTTTCGATAAGCGCCGGCGACTATCCTAGATCGCGATGTCGGAGCGATATGAAATTTTTTTGTTTCCTCGAGAGATTAGCTGATTTTTAGCAGGTCAGCCGAAAGAACGCGCGCCAACCTAGATCACCTTGACGAGGAATTACTCTTTTCTTTCGAAATATTTGACTGACATAAATATGCCAGTAAAGTATCACCAAGATAAACGTTGAATTGGGATGACTTGATCAGGCTAGTAAATTAGCACCGAGATAAAACGCTGAATTAGGAGCACTTGGTATTATCGAATGAATCTTTTTATCTGACCTTAAATAAAGTAGTTGCAAAATCTGTCGCTAGCGATAAACAGAGCTCCGCTCTGATTATGAGATTGCGACTGATAATTATACTCCTTATTCGATCATTACACAAGAGCGTTTTTAAATAACTCACTGGAGCGTAGACGGCACACGCAGAGAAAAGATTTATTCAAGTTAAATAAATGAGATACGTTGAAATCGTGCTTCTTAGAATCTACTAAAATTTACGTCTACTAAAACACTTTGCTAGATTTCAAGAAATGAATTAGGCCCGTATTCTGAACCCTCTTTTATCAATAAAAGCGCCTCTGAAAGTGGCTAATAAGCCTTCTGACTGGCTACAAGCCAGTCTGCCAAGCTTAGAGATTCCAGTCTTAATTAAATAAAATTTTGGTTAAGATAAAGAAATCATTTCTTTTATTAAATTAAATAAAAGTCCAGTAGGGTCAAAATTCAAGGAAAACTTGTTTCATTTCAAAGATACTTTTTTCTGGGTGCAAATACTTCATTCGCGGCCGTCCCGTCGCGACGGCATCCGGCATGATGCAACGATCGTAGAAAGTTTCGATGCCAAAAATTTGGCATGCCGAAATTGTCGCCGCGACAGTAAAGTGTCGCTCGTCGCGGCGTATACGTCTGATCCGAAATTTCGACAACCGGTAATATCTTTTTTATCGATCTCGAAGTCCTCCCCGAGGATCGTACGAAAATTGATCGGGAAACCATGTTTCGGGACCAGGTGTAAAAAATAAGAATTGAAAAACGAAGAGAGAGAGAGAGAGAGAGAGAGACGCGAACTTAAAAGACAAAATATAAAATTCTTAGTTCTGGCAGAACGTCGCGCGCGAGTAATGTTACAAATCAACGGATGTTAGTGACTCTATCCGAAGCAGGTCACCAAAAATCCAAATGGCATCGCGCTGCATCCGCTTATTCTACGTGTCGACTGTCGCTGATATCGTTCGCTGATTACACGAACGCTACTGAATTTTAACTAGATCCGACAATGCATCGCTGTGTACTTTGCAGCGAAAGCGACTGTGGTGCTTTTTTTTTTAAATAAATTTCCATCGGGAACGGTAGAAAACGTAACGCTGGTAAAATGATTCATCCGAGCATCAAAAATGTCTTTTTATCCATTTTTTTATTCTTTCAATGTTGAATGTCTCATATGTACTCTACTATTACAGGAGTAAATTTGAAAAAAAGGTATAGAATTTCTGTTATTGTTACAAGAATAATATTAAGAGAAATATAAACGAAATTATGTAACTTGGCAGCGATACGTCTTATCGCTCAGTCATCGCTATAACGTTATTTAACGGAGGCAAGAAACAAAATAAAGTTTTACGTTAAACGCACGCATCTCTAATTCGCACCCGATTTCAGGGTTCTATTTAATAACGTAACGAATTATTTAACGCCAGTAATTGATTAAACAATGTAGAAAAATTCCATGACGACCAATGGCTGGCAAATTCTAATTAAAGACATTCATTGCGAAAAATATTACCTCAGCCAGGGTTTGAACCTGGACCTCCCTACACTCTAGGCGGGCGTCTCAGTACATGTCTCAGTGGTCGAATTGGCGAGATGTCGCAATGAATTTCTTTAATTAGAATTTGCCAGCCATCGGTCGTCATGCAATTTTTCTACATTGTTCTATTTAATATTTTATATATAGATATATGTATTCTTTACCCTAGTAGCACAATATATTGGCGCAATATTAGGAAATAATGTGAATCTAGTATTCCCAAAATTGGGCCAATATTGTAAGACCCCTTCTCTTATTTAGCCAATATGCCTATTTAGCAATGCTGCTTTAATATTGACTAATATTCTTATTACATTGTTAAATATCGGCCAATGCACTTCCAATATAAATCTAATATTATGTAATTATTATCGTACAATATTTACATTTATTCCATGGCTAATATTGGCCAATGCATTTCTAACATAACCAACATTGGACCAATATTTAGTCAATGTTTGACCAAGGCACTATACTACTAGGATAAGTTTTCAAATAATTTTGGCACATTATGTCGCATCTAAAATTATGATAGAATTATATGAGAGTTCAGTTTCAATGAATAAATAGAAATAAAATTAAGTGTGGAAACGACCTTACTGGCACTTCTTTATTCTATTATTGTATAACTTTACAACGTTTCGGCCAGTAATAATGGTCCTCTTCAGGTAACGAACTTACATGAGTATCTGCACATGTTTCCACACTTAATTTTATTTCTTAAATTCTCGACTGGCGTTAACATATCTACGGTTGGATTGTTAAAATAAATAAAATTTCTTCCTGAATTCCGATGCTAATTACAGATCGTCTATAAACTTGCAATTAGTCTCGGCGTGGCCATTCGAGACGCTATTGCGACCTTCGGCGTTTGCCGAATCACCTTTCCTCGCGCCGTCGCGATCCGATTGGAAAGGTCCCGTAATTTACAATCAGTGTCAAGTTTCAAGTTTAAGTTTTACCGCTTCAGGTTTTCCGTTCTACGACACGCACAAATGTATAATACGCACGTAAACGTCGACACGCGCGTCCACGCTTATTATAGATCGCGTACACGCCCCCCCTTGAATTCGATCAAGTGCACTGTGCATAACTAAACGTAGCGTAACGCGTCACGGTTCCCCCTCCACCCCGCAGGCGCGCGTATATTTTATCATTTACCCTTTCCGATTATGCAAAGTTTAACCTTAGGTGTGTGAGCCGAACGCGCACCGTTGAGCTGTGCGCGCTTTCAGAAATCGCGCGATCGCCGCGTCGCGTGAATGAGTTGTCCGTTCGTTTCGCCACCAACAGACAGTAACTCGTTACATCGGACGACATTTGTCACTACATGATTGACAATTAGGCCGTTCGTAGACCGCGGGACGATCTTAATTTACCGTAACATAAAAGTGAATATAAAACTTCTGAGGACTCGCGGGATCTCACGCGAATCTCTCTCGGACGCGCGAGATTTCAGAGGCTGACACTTTCGCGCGGTTTATTATAAACGTCCGACTCTAGGCTGAAGGAACGAATAGAATCGAGAGAGATGTAGAGAAACCTTTCCAGAACGAACGTCGCTCACGAGTTGTAACCCTCGGGAATCAGACAATTGTCTGCATCGCGCGACAATTGTCGTGAAACGGCGCGAATGCCGTTGATCGGCGATAAGGATTCCGGAGGCGACTGCCCGATAACCTGTTTCCAACCGCGAGAGAAAGAGAGAGAGAGAGAGAGAGGGGGGGAGAGATTGCACGAGGCGCGTTTTCGCAACTCGTTTTCAATATTTCCGAGAGCGCGGAACTGGTAACGCGTGATGTAACGACGCGGCGAAAAAGTCCGTCGACAGAGAGGCCCGCTCTCCTCGAGCGGACGCGGGCGCGTCGGTTCCGTCGCGGCATCGCTCCGCGCCAGATCGCGAGATCGTCGGCAAATAAATTGGTCAGTTGGAATCCGAGCGGAGGACGATCGACGTTATCGCGAGCCGTACACATATGCGGGAAAGTTGTTAAAGGGCGACGCGTGCCCACACGCGCGTGTTACGCAAAATCGCGCGCCGTCGCCGCCGCGCGTTCTGGCTCGGCTTACGTCTCGCTGCCCGACGCGGCGTCGAGGTCTCGCGACTCCTCGATCGACGATCAATTAGTCGTGAATTAGAGACACAGATGTCATTGATTCACGTCTTATCTTCTCTCTTCTCCTGAGAATATGAATTATTCGAAGCTTTACGATTTTAGAAATTACGAAAAGCAGACGGGAAAGAACGAGGAAGACGATTATTTGTTTTCCTTGAATAATAATAATCGACGAGCAACCCGACGAGCAACCCGACAATTAAGAGGCAAATTATATTTTGAGTCAATTAAAAATAATGTATGCATAAACGAAGTCGATAATTTCGGTTAATTCCTCTTTCAATTGTAAGTGCAACATTAGTATGTATGTAGGTAAAAAACGACCCATATTATACACATGTTCATTTGTTAAATAAGTACCAAATATTCCATGCTATAAAATATTCCACATTAAATAAAATGAATATTTCAAATTGAAACTTAAACGCCATTTAGGACCTGGCATGGTGGTGGCCATTAAATTACTAAGTGAATCCATATACCGTTTTTTCCCACCCTGTACTGCGCGCCGTTACTATCGGACATATAACACAGATTTTCCCTAGGTGGGATCATTATCGTCAGTGAATTCACGTGTTCTAAAAATCGCTGAACGATTTTTGTAAATTATTTTAATTTAATTTTAATCCTATACTTAGCATTATAAATTTACCCTTTCCCCTATTGAATTAAAATTCTTATTGCGAAAAATATTACCTCAGCCAGGATGAATATTATTATGAATGAATATTAAATGAATATTATTATGAATATTAAATAATATTAAAATATTATATTGTAATAATATAATTATTCTCCCGTTAATCAATCTACATTCTCG